AGCTCCTACTGATTTTTTTCTCAAAGAATATGAATAATTACAAAAATTATTCTGAGGAAAAATAGCTGCATCAGTGCAGTGGAAAGCACCTTAAACTTAAATACTAACTAGTAAATAGAGATCTCATCTTTTTTTTTTCTTTTTGAATTTTGTATTCCAATTTGTCTGATTCAGGAACTAGTGAAACTCGAGTTTTTGACGAGCAAAGTCCGTCAGGAAATGATTACTTGGCAGAGGTAATTGCAACATGTTCTCTGATAAAAATTCATTTTCTAATGGTTAAAATAAGGATTAGCTAAAAAGTAATAAGAGCACCCTAAGGTTCAGTTTAATTTCAAGAAAATAAGGGAAAAAAAAAAAAGATAAAATAAAAGGAGTTATCTCTTAGAACTACTGTTTTTTTTTATTAATAATAAGTTAATAACTAATAATTTGATTCAATCTTCTTCAAGTGACTCTTCTAGCAAGTCATCAACGGATATATATATAATATAACGTCGAAGAGTTTTCTTCAGGTTTGTCGCGAATGGGAAAACACTGCACTAAGAGTCAATAAAGATGTGAGGCCAACACTTATTCGAATTGGCGTTGTACTTGGAAAAGATGGTGGTGCTTTGGGTAAATTCTAACACTTCTTTTTTTCACTCTCACGTATTATTAAAGTTCCAATTTTTCCATATTGACGTTTAGAGATTCAATTCACCTGAACAAAAAATCTGCAGCTAAGATGATACCTCTTTTCATGATGTTTGCTGGGGGACCTTTGGGCTCTGGGAAGCAATGGTAAAAAAATATGCACTTAAGTCCATTAGAAAACAGGCTTATTAATTAGTACATTGTTGGCTATTTGGTTTTATAATATTCGCAATGCTGTTTTTTAAGTGTTTCGCCATAATGTTACAGGTTTTCTTGGATTCATGTTGATGACCTAGTAAGCTTGATCTTTGAAGCTATAAGAAATCCCTCGTATAAAGGTAAAAAATTAAGTGAATTTTTTTCATATCTTATGGTCCTACATTCTTACTTTTCTTCACAAATTGCACCCCTAGAGAAAGCAACATTGACACACATTTTTTTTTTTTCATTTTGGAGATGATGAAGTTTTTATATAATCAAGTTATCGATTGTATTATTGGTTTCATGTGGAATAAGGAGCTGAATTGTTTTACCAAGAGCTCTAGAGTAAATTCTGGAATTTATATTTAAGAATCTGAACCCCAAATTTGACTGAAAAAATTACTTTTACTCAAAAAACCACCCCAGAGGTTTAGTCTAATTACGAAAAGAAACCCGAATATCTATCTTAAAAAACACTTTTACCCTACAAATAGTCCTCAATAGTGCCCTCTTTAGAGGTACATACTATCTCAAGGGGTCATTCGTAATATTGTTAAATTTTTTATTTTTTTTTTGGTGATTCGGGTATATTGTAACTTTCCTGAAATAATAATACGTTTATATTCTTGAATAAGGTGTTATAAACGGGACAGCACCAAATCCTGTTCGACTATCAGAGATGTGTGATCATTTGGGGTCCGTTTTGGGACGGCCCTCATGGCTTCCTGTACCTGACATTGCTCTTAAAGCCGTTCTTGGAGAAGGTGCTTGCGTGGTAAGGCTAGTTACATTGAAAATGTTTTTTTTTTTTAAAAAAAAAAAGGTAAAAAAATCATTCTATGGTCTAATTCAACTTTACTCAAGAGGTATCTTCAACATTTGCGAACATAATTTGATCTTATTGTTAACTTCATTTGTGTTAATTTCAAACGAGATTTGTAAACACGGTCACTTAATGTTTGCACACTTAACAGCTTGTGTAACCCTAAACGACAGGTTCTTGACGGACAAAAGGTCCTTCCAACCAAGGCCAAGAAACTCGGTTTTTCATTCAAGTATCCTTACGTAAAAGATGCTCTTCGATCGATCGTGCCTTCTTGAGAAAATTGAAAGCTTGGAGCACAAATTTGTGAGATTATATAGGTTTTGGTCACTTGTGGCAACTCCTTTTTCTTAAAGAGTTGAAGGAATGCTTTCAAGTAAATAGGCCTATGTTGTTTGTTTGAGTTACTTTCTTGGAAGTCTGTTGATAGAGCTGTTAATCGAGATGAACCGCTCGTGAGCTCGGCTAAACTTGACTTGGCTCGAAAGAGAAATTTATATGTAAATTTTTATATCTGCTTGTTGAGGTAAATGTGTCGAGCTCGAGTTTGGGTCGTTTATACCCTATATAATATTGTAAAAGATAGAGTGCGCTCTACATGTTTCACCTTTATACATAAAAGATTTACTTGATATCCCGTTCTCAAATTTTGGTGGTTTGGAGTAAGGTCTTGCATAACAAATTGTCCCATCTGTCTAACGGGTAAAAGACAGGTTGAGCGAATCCAATTTTTATTCCAACATCAAATTTTCCAACATTTTTTTTTTTTCAAGTAAATGTTCGTTTTGAAATTTATTGTGACACTATTAATACAAAAATTCAATTCCTCTAAAATTTTGGTTATTTCGGTTTTCTTTAGGTTTCATTTTTTAAATAATTAAAATAACCGAACGGGCAAAACAATATAAAACATATCTTTTTTTATTTTTTATATTTTTTAACTTGTAAATTGTAATTTATTTCGGTCATTTCATTTAAACCAGTTAACGACCGAACAAACCAATTATTTCGGTAAGCTTTTAGTTTGATTTGAGACAAAATTCGATCAATTCGATTTTTCCAAAAATTTGACTCAATTATTTTGATATATGTCATTTCGATCGGTCGGTTCACACAACCTAACTGAAACTTTGAATAAAATTTTGAGTCTATATTTAAATAATAATTAAAGAATGTGAAGATGATTTAGTGACATTATTTAATTATATTAATAATATTAAAAAATATAATTAAATTAAATTTAAGTTGAATTTTGAGTCAAAAAGTTATAAAAAGAAAGGGTGGAATGAGCCAAAAAAAATTTATATCCAATTACACCTTTAAATTTTCTATGTGAAACATTCCTCATGTACACCCACAACTGCAATATTAGTGTAATAGGTTCAATTGTCTCTTTCATATATTCCAGGACCCAGACTATTTAGCAGATATGAGACTGCTAAAAGGTCCAAGCCGATTTTTTTCGAATATTGTTTAAGAAACAAATTTCCCAACTCTAGTGCTAAGAAATCACGACAAGCCCGCCTTTCTAGTAACAAATTTTTTAAGCAGAGAATGATAAAAATCCAAGACAAGAACTAATAAAGATACATACAACTGTCCTCTGCAATCTTAATAAGT